CAGTGAGGGAAATCGCTCGGCGCTAGAGCTCTGATTTGAGCCGATCAACCTCGATCGAAAGGCTATCCCGCTCGGACCTCGTGACCCTAAGGCTGAGATCAAGGTCACGGAGAGTGGAGTTATGAAATTTACTGTGTTCCATGACCTTCTTATACTTCTCCATCTGGGCACGCTTCTCCTCAGCAATAACAACCTCTTTAGCTTTGAAGTTCAAAGCTGCCTCCAAATTATTCAATTTCTTAGTAGAGGCAGCCTCGCACTCGACAACAGCAAGTACAACATTTTGGACCTCAGACCTTTTAGCCTTGGCTTCTTCTTGTGTACTTAACTGGGAGGCTTCTTGGCTGAGTGCCATCAGTTCTTACTCGCTCTGCTGCAATCGAGCCTCCACCGGCTGGGACAACAGATGGAACAAATATCATGTCATTGCTGCATTGTGAATGGTATTATTTATCATACACTCCCCCGAAAGAGAGAGTATTTTCTTCTTATCTTTCTTTGAAGCCGGCGACTTTAGGTAATTGGCAAGTTCCACTGGCTAAGATAGTAGGTGGCACTCAGTAGAGAGCGAAAGGGAGATACTCCTCCTCCTCTAGGGATCTGTAGAGAGGGGCGAGTAGTTGTGCCCCAAATTCCCATGGTCTAGGGACTAGGGAGGGGGGACATCCTCCTCTCGGGTGTCTACGGATAGTAGGGGTAATGTAGCAGTTGTTGATGACGAAGGTACGACCAGCGTGGAAGGAAACGAAGCTGATGGTGTTGTGGGATTAGAAGCAGCTGTAGCAAAGGCAGTGCTGGTTGTAGGTTGCTCATCAATCGAAGATGGAAAAGACCCCATACTTAGCCCCATAGTACTAGGAGTAGGAACTGGGGCTCAAAAGCGAGAATTGGCATTCTTCACTATATCATACTCTCCCTAGAGTGCTTGGACATCATCCTCGGTTGGTGTTATAAGATCTTCAGATTGAGCATTTTGTTTAGATGATGAAGATCATTGTCGCCTCTGTAGGGAAGCCTCTTCATTACTGGCTTCCCCATCATCATCAATCACTACAATGGCTGCGGCTAGCTCGGGCACGGCGTTCTTCACCTTTTTATTTTTGCCCTCGGCCGAGGAGGAATGCCGTCTTTTTGGTTGCTTGTTCTCCGGCCGGGAACATCGAGAGAAAGCACCTGCACCTGATATGGATCCGATATCGCCTGTTCGGGTGAAGACCTCCTTCTGTAACCTCATAGCCTCTGCGGGATCAGCCAAAATATCCTCCTCGAGGATGGTAAAAGAGCCCTGTGGAAGACCAGAATTCAACGAAAAAGAAAGTTAACCAATTTTCTTATACACAAAATGAGATAAAGAGAAGATTAAATTCGCGAATCAACTTACCATAATTTTTGTCCGTACACCCGTATTTGAGGGCCAATTCTTTTCACCGACGGGTTTCAGGCGTGGTAATATCTAGAATCATCTAAACCCACCGGTCCAAGCCTTGAACCTTTGGTGGTACCAATCGAGTTGCTGAAATAATGAAAAAAGAAGAATCAGTAACATCATGAAACAACCTTTTATTGGAGAAAATACAGACGTTGAACTTATGTGTATGAGTCCATAACTCAGGGAAAGATGGAGTTATGGCCGGGTATCCCTGGTGACAACGGCAACGAACCGCTCCAACCATCCACGGTCGTTGTCATCAGCCACGTTGGTGAGCAAAGCATGGTGACCATGTTTGCTAAAGTGTATTACTCCCCTACGGAAAATCTTGGGGGAGTAGAGGTTCATCATGCGAGCCAAGTAGAGCTCTTTGCCCGTCTTCTGGCATAGGCTCCGTAGACAGGCTACCGTCCGCCACACAGAGGGGCTCACTTGTGCCAAGCAGACTTGATACCGGTGGCAGAACTCCAAGGATACAAGGTCAAATCCCCTCCTCAATGAGAATGGGCCCAAAGTGAAGGGGTACGTGTAAAACGTACGTAAAACCCTTCTTGGGGAAGATTAATCGCTTCACCAGATTCGGAGCGATGATGTTCAGATCATGGCAACCACAATCCTCCTTCACAACAGGAATGCTAGAAGGACGGATAGAAGAAGGGTACACGCCAATATCTTACGTACGAGAGCTTGTAGAAGGAAACTTCTCTTTGAAATCCTTATTTGTACTGAGCCTTCTGGGAATGATGGTGCTCATCGCAGGAGGGGTAGCATCATCGATGCTTTCTTTGTTTTTTTTTTTAGAAAACTTGAGTTCTTGGAGGAGGGGACATGGTCAGTAGAAGGTAATAATAGTTCTCTGAAAAAGAAGATTAAAGAATAGTGAAAGCAAGAAAGAGTTGAATGCAAAGAAGTTGAGAAAGTTTGAAAACCTATGAAGTATGAAAGAAGAAGAATGAGGCGTATAAGTAAAGGAATATGCGGCTAAAATCGTGGCTATGATTACCTCGAGAACTGGCGAAAGTATTGCTAAATCGTGTAGTGACGCGTGTCCGGGGTATTAAATGCGGAGAGACGTGCGTCTAATCAAGCGTCAGAAACTTTTCAGAAGGGATCAGAAAATTCTCGCCAAGAAAGATATCTTCACCAACTTCCCGAAGACACAAAGAAGCCGGTGGGACTATCTGTATAGGGTAAAATCGGTTCGTATTAAATACTCGAATAATAAAGCGACACGTGGAACTGGATACAGACAAAAAGCAAGGAAAATGAAAACCAAGACCGGGGGCAACAGCTTCGGTTAGCACCGGAAAAATCCCAAAGACAATATTGCTTATAAAGACAAACGAATGTTTGTCACCCGATGACATTCAATGAAAAATATTCTTCACTATTAAATACATAGTTCATAGCCTGTCGTTACACATTCATCAATGACCCCCATAATTGTTATTTAAGAGGGGCTTAACCCTAGGACTTCGTTCCCTAGGTGTAGCTATAAATAGTGACTTCAACAACCATTGTAAAAGGGAAATTTTCCGACATAAAACTTATGCTACACATTATTCTAAGCTCAATAACACTTTATTTCTTGTCCATCGATATTCTTATTACTGCCTTCGGAAGCTCTACTCCTGAAACCATCCTATTTGCTATCTTATCTCGATTTCAATTCTTTCTCTTTATTTAATTTATTTATCATTTTGGGATCAAATTGATTCGCTTGTTTTATAAATCACGCTACAAATTCAACTGTATCGTTTTACGGGTAAACAATTACATAGAAAAGTAGTTCCTACAGAGTTAGCTAAACTACTGACTGCTTTGGCCAGTATTATGTCCATTGTTATTCAAAAGACAAGTACTACAGGGAGCTTGGCGTTGCATAGTCGCCACATTACAAAAATGAGGAGATACAGAAGTAGATAATCAGTTATTTTGACCAAGTGAATGGCCTTTTGTCTATGGTAGTTATAGATATACTCATCCATACATCTAGTGAAAAAATAATTAGAGCCTTATAAGTTACACCAGCAAAAGATGGACGTACAAGAAAAATCAAAGGTAATAAAAGAAGGCCAAACACGCACGTTACCCCATAAATACTTTGTTATGCACTTTTATAGAGTGCTTAAAGAACATGAAAAGGGTGTGTAAGACTATTACTACCATTGGAGGCTGAAAAGAAACAACCAATAAAATCTGAAATGTGAAACGGCTTATAAATGGAAACAATCAAGAATACGGGCATTATTGCTCCCAAATGCACGTGGAAATATACGCAGTTTACTGTCATCACCCAAAATCTAACCAGTCGTGATGGCGCATAACCCAATCCGTTAAGTAAGCCAATTAAAAACTACTCACTCTGTTTCAATTTAGATAAGGTAGTTTGACTCGGCACGGAGTTTAAGAAAAAAGAAGAAGACTTTTAAACTTGTGATCTTAAAAGTTTAATGGTTAAAAGTTTTGTGGGGCCATGACATTGTGTGGTTATAAAAGCTTCTCATTAAGGGTAAAATAGGCAAAATGAAGAGTTTAAAGTTGAATTATTTTCAAATTTAGAAATATCTAACCAGTCGTGATGGCGCATAACCCAATCCGTTAAGTAAGCCAATTAAAAACTACTCACTCCGTTTCAATTTAGATAAGGTAGTTTGACTTAGCACGGAGTTTAAGAAAAAAGAAGAAGACTTTTAAACTTGTGGTCTTAAAAGTTTAATGGGTAAAAGTTTTGTAGGGCCATGACATTGTGTGGTTATAAAAGCTTCTCATTAAGGGTAAAATGGGCAAAATGAAGAGTTTAAAGTTGAATTATTTTCAAATTTAGAAATATGTCATTTATTTTGGAACAGACTAAAAAGAAAAGTATCTCATCTAATTTGAAATGGAGGGAGTATTCAATTTAATGAGATTGATTAAGAGAAGAAATGGTAATACAACTGCTTTTATACAAGAATTTCCCAATGACTGGTAGTACAAATCATGAGCTTCTAAGATTTAGATTTTTACAAGACTGAACTAAAATAATTACAACATCTGTTGAAATGTCAATGAACAGAATTCGAATCTAATGCTACCAAGGACAAGTGATAACCATAACTGGAATACAGGTACATCTTCAGATCCAACTCCCGCGTACGCAGCAACTTCAGCATCCAACATGTGCACGCAAGGTGCAGAAGTGTAGTATGAGTACAACCGACCTCATGTACTCAATAACTAACAAACCTAACCTTAGGTTGAAAGTAGTGACAAGCTGGTACAAGGGTTAGTGCCCAACTCCAATAACCAGCAACAGTTCATAACAACATAAAAAAAAAAGGTACAAGAAATAATTCAGAGGCGTACAATGCTCAACTCGTTCACACTTACGGGAAAATAGGCATGTTTTTCATAGATATCAATAAAACTCAGTTCTTTTAACCAAATCGCCAAAGATACGAGTAAGTCTGAAAATTATAATTTTTCCCCAAAAATCTGTCACGACCCAAACCGATGAGCCGCGATGGGCACCCGGTACCTTACTCCCGAGTACCAACGTAATGTCTCTTTCGTATCATACTATCATTGGTAAATAAAACGGAAAAGCTGCCGTGAGATAACTAGAATGAAACATGAAGGAACACTCGACATAGGACGACCCATCACATAATACAAACTTATACATATGACGTACGAGCCTATAAGGTCGAAATGATCACTCGTACACTGAACATAGGCCGACAAGGCCATACTATCTTTCATATACATGACATATGTCTACAAGCCTCTAAGAGTACATAAACTTCATAAGGCCGGGACATGGCCCCGATATACCAATCAATACGTGTCCAATGCATACTGACCAAATAAGCAACTCCAGAGCAAATGGAGTGCACCAACACCTTCCACTGAGCTGATAGCTTACTTGGAGGACTCTCAACCTGTCAATTGGGACCTGCGGGCATAAAACGCAGCGTCCCCAGGCAAAAGGGACGCCAGTACAAATGATGTATCGAGTATTCAAGGAATGAAAATCAATAAATAATAAATATGAGAGAAACATGGAGTAAAAGACTCAACATGTAAGTGTGAATAACTCTGTGAATCATTAATCTTTATAATGTCATGTATATGCGTATAAATCTCATACCATGCATAGGTATATGCATTCATAACATCATCAAGCCTCTGAGGACATCCCATCATATTATCTCGGCCACTATGGGCAAAATCATCAACGTATACTAGTTGATCAGATGGTGGTGCGTATATAACGCCATAACCCTTTTCCCATATCCCATATATAAATATATACAAATAAATACGCGTATATAACGCCATCTGGTCATGGGTTAATGTACATGTATAAATGAATGCAGTGCATGAGAAGTACGTCAATAAAATCTCTCGAAACGTCATAAGACCATTATACCTCTGATTAATATCTTGAAATAAACTTTATCACTACTTATTTTCTGAGACCCATGGACAGATGATACAAAAAATACGACACATGAGGATTCAAGAACATAGGCACTTCTAGTACTTCTATGAATAGAGTCGTTTATGATAGTTGTGCATTTGCTCGTTTCATTTGTACCGTATGGATCATGCCAAAAAGAAAGAAGAGATAACCTTAACATACCTGAATCGATTCTCTTGATAATTCCTCCAACATACCGCATTTGTATGAAATGCTTGAGGCAATCACGTTGCTATTGCAACAATACCTTTGCTGAAGCATTCTATTTTAAGATGAGTAATTCAATTGTGAATTAGAAAGGTTGTCTTTAACCTTTAGGTGAGTCCCACTTTAGAGGGGTGACTAAGCCACCAATTTCTCATAAGGTGTCACATTACTTTATGACTTAAGAGACATATTTAACTAATGCTCTTGGCTGCCACGTTGGGGCCCTTTAGGTTTTTATACATAATTCTTTAATTACATAGTTAATCTTCCACCAAAAATCCACAATTAAACAAATATCCATATAGTTAAGAATTATATCAAATTACTTAAAATACTTAAAATATTATTCACTTTTAACACACTTTATACATCTTACTACCATGGTCATGTGATACCTTGTATGACACAAGTCCATAAATACCGGGTATTATAGCTCGGACCCTATTTTATCCCAAATTGACAAACTTCGACGGAACTCTTTTCCTTCGATTCGTTCACCCTTTCACCTTCACGAATTTACTTATCACTTATTTGAAATAGCATATTACTTATAATCTGAAAATAATATCATTCCCGAGCTTACGTCGATTAACTTACGACAAAAATTTAACGTCCGAAAATGCGAGATGTAACATCTCATTTCCGAGCTTATATCAATTTACTTATGGCGTACTTCCACGTACGAAAACATGGGGTGTAACAAAATCTTTCAACAATAATTAAGACGTTTCATTTTCAGATAGCATGAGGAACGTACTGTCACACCCCCTTTTTTTTTTACCTCACTAACCCTCTTTTAAAAAGATAAAAAGTGATTTTAAAGCTCAAGGGTTTCCAATTTGAAAAGTGACAAAATATTTGTGTTCAAATGATTTTTCAGAGTCGCCACCTGACATTTGATTTCGGTGTGTCAGGTCACCGTTTTTAGAAATGATTTGTTCATTTGAAGCACGCTTGACTCTAACACATAGTCTGCACCAGAAATTCTGAGAAAGTGGGTTCATTTGGCTCGGGAAGAAGGTGTTAGGAATTTTTCAAGTCTCGTAAAAACTACGGCTGCGTACATGATCTAGTTGGCTTTTAGAAATACTCAGATTGAGGTAGAAACACACAAAAAGCGAAAATAAATACAGAAGAGGCATGAGGTTTTTCTCACCTAATAAAAGAAAAATAAAAAATGAAAATTAAAATCCAAAGCTAACCTATACTATACTTCCTCCACGATGTTCGTCATGGCCTCTAAATACATATACTACGGGGAATCCGCCTGATAAAAATATTTATAAATTCTTCAGGGCATCCCCCGAAAAAATAATAAATTAAAGGACAACCTCCAACCTGGAATAACACAAAAAGGTCCTAAATTTGCCTACCTAAGTGTTGACGGCCTAAGCATGTTCCTAGCAGACAAAATAAGGATAGAACTAAAATAAGAACTGATATAACAACACTTAAGTCCATTTAATTATGTCTAAAGCCTAAATCCCATTCTCGTTTCAAGATAATGTCTATTTTAATTCCAATTTTAATAACTGAACCCAAGAACTCAAAACCAATACATTTTCCATGTTCTAAATTAAAGAAGCAGTAATTCCATAATAGTAACTACTCTACTAAGAACACACAATCGATAATATCAACCACGAGAACACTTTACAAAACCATTCAATAAACGACAAATTTGGGAAAACAAAATTGCAAGAAAAAAAGGAAAAGAATTGGACCTTTTGTGTAGCAAAATTTTCTCCATATTTTGATTAAGCAAGAACCTCTTTATGCAGCAACAACGTTACTCAGAGATGAACGAGAAACCAAATCTGACAATAGCACCTCGATTGCATTTCAAATCTTGACCGATACCGTAGACCATAGCACTCAAACAATACCCACCCTAACGACAACTTATTTTAGAGTTCAAATCTAGAGATCTAGCCCGAAATTTATCCTTAATATTCAACCCATTTATGATTTCTAATTCACTGATAATTTTGACAAAGAAAATGATAAAGGACGGTGGTGGTAGAGCTTTAAAAAAATAGAAAGGGTGGTGTTGCAGTCAAGGAAAGTTCACGGGAGGAGCTTTTGTTAATTTGTGGTCCAAACATTGGTTGAATAAAGGTGATGAAATTAGGTAGTTTCCATGTTAAAAGTCTGTGATGGATCTCTGTTCATAGTGAAAAGAACTGAAATGATCCAGATATGGTAAAGTTTGGTGGAACTATGTGTAGATGGAGGAAATTTTGCCAAATGGAGAAGATGAGCCATTTTTTATCCCCGAAATGTAGTGTCTTCCCTTGAAATCTGTAGAGTCGCCCCCTCCATTGTGAATGTGTGATGTGAGGTTGTTGAGACGACTGTTGTAGAATAGTGATGTGGTAATATTTTATTGGCTAAAAGAAAGAAAAGGAATGTAATGGAAGAAGGGGTACGTGGGTATAGGAGAAAGAGAGGGGACCATTGTAACGACTCGGCGGGTCGTTTCTAGAGTTATAGCCCGGTTCTCCCATTTCCTCCTTCTTTTGTGTTCTACAACTATATTATGATATACCGGGTTATTTGGTTCGGGTCCGGAGTGGTTTTGGATTGAATTGAGATACATCGTCTCTTAATTGAAAGCTTAGGTTGGAAAAGTTGACCGGATGTTGACTTATATGTAAACGACCTCGGATTGACTTTTGATGGTTCCGTTAGCTCAATTAGGTAATTTTGGACTTAGGAGCGCGTCCGGAATTTGATTTGGAGGTCCGTAGTAGAATTAGGCTTGAATTGACGAAAGTTCGAATTTTGACAAATTTGACCGGCAGTGGAAATTTTGATATCGGGGTCGGATTGGAATTTTGAGAATTGGAGTAGGTCCTTGGTGTCATTTATGATGTGTGTGCAAAATTTGAAGGCAATTGGACGTGGTTTGATAGGTTTCGGCATCGTTTGTGGAATTTGGAAGTTTAGAAGATCTTTAGGCTTGAATCCGAGTGTAATCCGTGATTTTGATGTTAATTGCGGTGATTTTAGGATTCGACTAAGTTCGTATCGGGTTACAGGACTTGTTGGTATGTTTGGTTGAGGTCCCGACGGCCTCGGGGTGATTTCGGGTGGCTAACGGCTTGAGTTTGAGTTGAAGAATGCAGCTGAAGTGCTGCAGCTTCTGGGGTAACCGCACCTGCGGAGTGGGCACCACAGGTGCGACCTCGCAGAAGCATGGCTTGGATCGCAGAAGTGACTGGTGAAGAGATGGGCAGAGTCCCCAGGTGCGAAGGACTTCCCGCACCTGTGATGGTCGCAGAAGCGGGCATTGGGACGCAGGCGCGAGTGTGGTGCGCAAGTGCGATGTGTTTTCCACACCTGCGATGATCGCAGATACGGTCCCTTGATCGCAGAAGCGGAGGCCGTGTTTAAGTTATTCTCCGCAAAAGCGGAGCTTAGTTCGCAGATGCAGCTCCGCAGATGCGGAAATTGAGCCGCAGGTGCGAAAGCCTGGGCAGAATATATAAAAACGGGATTTCGAGATTTTTCACCATTTTCAACATTTTGGACTCGGGCTTAGGCGCTTTTGGAGAGGATTTTCGAGGGGAATTCTGAGGTAAGCTTCTTGTACTCGTTTTTTATCATAAATCTTGTTTCCCCATTGATTTTCCCACCTAGATTGTGTGGTGTTGAGGTGAAATTTGGGAGATTAGGGCTTGAGAATTGGAGAGTGGAGTTTGGGGTTATAGAGGGGCAAATGATGTCGGATTTTAATAAATTTAGTATGGTTATCTCGTGAGTGAATGGGCTTTCGGGTTTCGTGACTTTTTTCGGATTTCGAGATGAGGGACCGGGGGCCAGGTTCGAGTCGATTTCGGATTTTGGCTCTAATTTGGTAGTTTTCTTGTGGAATTGATCCCTTTAGCCTATATTGACTGTAATGTATTACTTGTGGCTAGATTCGGGACGTTTGGAAGCCGATTTGAGAGGCAAAGGCATGCAGAGTAGAGATTTGCTTGGTTTGAGGTAAGTAACACTTTAAAACTTGGTTCTGAGGGTTCGAAACCCCAAATTATGTGTTATGTGATTGGTATTGTGTTGATGCACATGCCAAGTGACGGGCGTGCGGGCGTGCACCGTGAGAATTATGTCCTGGGTGATTCCATGGCACCGTATAATGACTCTATCCTGTTGATATCTATGTTTTCATCATGTGATAATGCAGTTGAGCTATCAATCATGCTAGATATCATGTTTAGGCTTTATGCCGGTACTGTTGAGACCCTAGTGGCTTGTTGTTGTCTCACTATTTTCATTGATATTCCATACTCGGTCATGTTCATGCATTTTTATATCATATCTCAGTCTCAATTATTTGTTGATACATCATATCATTATTCTGGGTTAGTTTTCATAACATTGTGAGCCCGTGGGTGAGACTGGGGAGATTGATGACTGAGTGAGGCCGGGAGCCTGATTATGAGTGACAGTTATGGGATCGGGCTGCACGCTGCAGTGGCTATATTGATTTGTGATAGCGCTTGGGCTGTAGGAGCCCCTCCAGAGTCTGTAACACACCCCCCAGTGAGCGCGATTGATATTACCGAGGGATGGATCTTCCCTGGACATGGATCTTGTCCGAAGTACTTGATACTTGGAGATGGATCTTCTCCATAGGGCTGGATTGGCCTTCCTCGGTACTGGGTGATGTATAGTAGTGATGTATATGTTCCAGGATGGATCTTCCCTGGGCCGTATGGGCCATATACAGTACCGAGTGGTAGAGAATTTGAGAGTGTGAGCATTTGAGGCTGATAACATGGTGCATCACATACAGCATGTGCATTGGCATGTAGATATAGCAGAGTTATATTCTTTATACTATTCAGATCTGCTTTACTTTACTGTTTGAGCCGGTTATCTAATTTGAAAGCATGCCTACGTTTCTGCACAATTATTTCTATTTTATCTGTACTGGTTGAGTTCGTCACTACCTTTCAGTCCAAATTGTGGACTCGTTACTTACTGAGTTGGTGTACTCACGTTACTCCCTGCACCTCGTTTGGAGACTATCAAGGTAGCTGCACAACGTTTGCAACCCTTGACTCTCCTTCTTAATCATTAGTTGTATTTTCAGTTATTTCTCTAGACACTGCAGTGGAATGTATTCTGAATAAACGCTCATGTACTCAGTGAAACCCCGGTTTTGGGCTAGTTTGTATCGCACTTTGAGATTAGTTATGAATTTAAAAGGGTTTATTATGGGCTGACCTAGTTCCACGATAGGCGCCATCACGATGGTTGATTTTGGATCATGACAAGTTGGTATCAGAGCCTAGGTCACATAGGTGTCACGAGTCATGAGCGGATTTAGTAGAGTCTTGCGGATCGGTACAGAGACGTCTTTACTTATCTTCGAGAGGCTGCAGAACTCTTAGGAAACTTCACACTCTTGAATTCTTATCGTGCGAATCTTTTGACACTGGTAACTAAACTTCTGTTATTCTATTTTCTCACAGATGGTGAGGACACGTGCTACTGCGCAGGACAGACAGCCATCAATGCCACCACTTGGGGCCGCGAGAGGCCAAGGTTGCGGTAGAGGCCGTGGTAGGGGTCGAGGTGCAGCCCGAACAGCATCTAGGGCAGCACGCGCAGATCCACCAGTTGCCCCAGTTCAGGATCAGGTCCCAGTGGTAGATGCACCAGGGGGACCAGCTCAGGCACCAGTTGTGTCCATCGTGATCCCAGGCCTTCAGGAGGCCTTAGCTTAGATTTTGCCATGTGCACCAGGCTTGCTCAGGCGGTTTCTGTTTCTATTGCAGCAACTACTTCCCAGGACGGGGGAGGTACTCAGACTCCCGCCACCCGCACACCAGAGCTGGTGGTACAGGGACTCCAGACACCAGGGGCCCCACTAGCCCAGCCGATTGCAGCTACTCAGGATTATGTGGTCCCCGTCATGCCTGCTGATGAGAAGCGTAGATTGGAGAGGTTTGGGAGACTCCGGCCTCCATCTTTCAGCGGTACAGAGGGAGAGGATGCGTAAGGTTTCTTGGATAAGTGTTAGAGGATCCTCCTTATAACATGTATTCTATAGACCAGTGGGGTCTCATTCACTACTTTTCAATTTACTAGAGTTGCCTTTACTTGGTGGGAGGCTTATGAGAGGCGTAGGCCGGTTGGTGCAGCGCCACTTACGTGGCAAGAGTTCTCTGTTCTCTTCTTGGAGAAGTATGTGCCGCAGTCTCGCAGAGAGGAGCTGCGCAGGCAGTTTTATAGGTTGCATCAGGATGACATGACTATGATACAGTACGTACAGCAGGTATTCTATAGACCAGTGGGGTTTCATTCACTACTTTTCAATTTACTAGAGCTGCCTTTACCTGGTGGGAGGCTTATGAGAGGCGTAGGCCGGTTGGTGCAGCGCCACTTACGTGGCAAGAGTTCTCTATTCTTTTCTTGGAGAAGTATGTGCCGCAGTCTCGCATAGAGGAGCTGTGCAGGCAGTTCAAGAGGTTGCATCAGGATGATATGACTATGATGCAGTACAAGAGGATATTTTCTGAGTTAGCCCATCATGTTGTTTGGTTGGTTGCCACAGACAGGGAGAGGATCAAGAGGTTCACTGATGGCCTCAAATTTCAGTTGCGGGTACTTATGACCAGAGAGAGGGTGTTTGGTGCTACCTTGGACGATGTTGTTGACATTGCTCGGGAGATAAAGTCGATCCGCAGTCGGGAGCGGGTTGAGAGGGAGGCCAAGAGGTCTCGTGGATCAGGTAGCTTTGGTGGTGTTCCTTCTGGAGGTCATTTTCACCACGGTAGAGGTCGTCCTTATAGGCATGCTCAGACAGCCTGCCCAATTCATCGTGGTGCATCATCTGGCCATGGTTCTCACAGTTCTCAACAGGGCCACTCATCTCTCAGTGCCCTTCCAGATCAGAGTTCGTCTCGTGCACCATCAACTCAGAGTTCATATATGTTGGGGCTTTCTAGCAGGTATCCTGGTGCTCGGGGCTCCCTTCAGTCCCCACCACCATTCGCTAATGAGGTTGCTTTGAGTGTGGAGATTTGGGTCATATCAAGAGGTACTGTCCCCGCCTTACTGGAGGTTCATCTCAGCAGAGGAGTCAGCCTTCGACTTTAGCACCAGTTACTTCACCACCCGCTCAGCCAGCTCGGGGTGGGGCCCAGTCAGCTAGGGGTCGCCCTAGAAGGGGAGGCTGATCAGGTGGCGGTCAGGCCCATTTCTATGCACTCCCTGCCAGACCAGATGCTATTGCTTCAGACACACTGATCAGAGGTATTATCTCTGTATGTCATCGAGATGCTTCTGTATTATTTGACCCTGGTTCCACCTATTCATAGTGTCATCATATTTTGCTCATTATCTGTACATGCCCCGTGAGTCT